ATGGCATAAAACGGGGGGTAACCCCCCCTTAGGTGTAACCCAGGGTGTAGGGTTAGGGGTTACCCATGTGGCTATGTACGAAGGGAGGTGGGTAACCTAACCCCGGGGTAGGGGTAACCCCTTACCGAGGGGTAACAAAGGGGTCGGGGTAATACACTACTGATTGGTAACAGACAGGGTAACCCATGTTTACATTCACCTGTGCCTGTCTCGCCTGTCTACATATGCAAACATACATGTCTTCACCAATCACTTGTGAATGCCCAATTATCAACATTGCCGCACCAAAACATGCCTTGCACAAGGCACATAGCTGCACATAGCTGCAGCCTAGATGCAAGGAGGCGGGTGGCTTGGTGTTCTCCAGGCTGTGGTGCTGAAGCAGCTGCTCCATGTAGCGCTGCTGCATAAGCATGATGCTGCGGTTGCAGCAGTCCTGGATGATCTCCATGCTGAGGTAGTAGCGCGCCTCTCCAAGGTCTCGTGCTGTGAAGCAACCAGCTATGGCCGCCTTGGCGGCCGCAACCAATTGCTGGTTGTCTGCCGCCACCAGCATGTCGTCAACGTGCACAAGCACATGAATTGAGCCGTCGGACCCGCACTTTACGAATAGTGCGGGGTCGGACATAGACAGCTCATAGCCTAGCTTGCCCAACTCCGCCGCCAGTTTCTCATACCAGCAGCATGGGGCTTACTTGAGGCCATAGACGGACTTTAACAGCCGGCACACCTGCATCGGGTCGCCGTTGCTGTAACCTGGTGACCTATATCCCGCCGCCTTCCCACCCTGTCCACGACCTCTGCCAGCGCAAAAGGACCCCACGCCTGGCAGCCATACAACAGAATTGCTCGGACTTGGGTTGCAAAGCACCGCATTCGCATGGGGGCAAACAGCTTCATTTTGTCCAACTTTGCGCTTAAGGAAAACATAGCGGACCGACCTGTATCACGTAACTGCTGACGGCACGCACTAAAAGGCCGTTCTGGCCTGTATACCAAGCCCAGATAGCGAGCGCTATCTTTGGCAGGTACTACCTGGCCTGATAGCCGTAACTGTTGACATCTCTCGCTAAGTTCCGACTGCTGGGTGCCATCACATGCAAAAACAAGCCTAGGCCTTTCACATTCTGAGACATTTGGTCGCATCCCCAAAGCTTCGCAAAACAAGTCCACAAGATGTAGCAACTCAGACATTCACTCTAGTGGCGTCGCTAGCAGACCAACATCGTCTGCATACAACAGTATAGAGACGCGCTTGCTGTCCACAAGGGGTGCGTCATACTTACGTACTCCAGCTTCTACAAGGTCATGAGTATCAATCAGATCAGCTAGTGTCTCATGCTGGTGACGGCAGACAACTTGCAAGTGGTCGCGGCCGCCAAGGCAGCCATCGCCGGTTGCTTCACAGTGCGTGACCTTGGCGAGGCGCACTACTACCTCGACATGAAGATCATCCAGGATGGCCGCAACCGCTGCATCGTGCTCACGCAGCGGCGCTATGTGGAGCAGCTGCTGCAGCGCCACAGCCTGGAGAACGCCAAGCAGCACGCGTGAGTGCTGTGGTTCACAGGTCATGTGCAACGGTGGTGCACTTCGCACTTTGTACAGCTCGTGTACTGCTATTGTATTGCACGGTTGGCCGTACAGTTCGCAGTCCCGCACGCAAATCGCAGTCACTCGCGTTAAATTCAAATGGTAGCACTTAGGTTTGGTTTGCGAAAATGTTGCGAATGCATACGCTATAGCCACAAACGCACATGCATTCGCAAGATTCGCAGTCGCGTATGCCATTCGCAATCCCTTGCGTTTGACGATATGCTCGCGTTAAAAGTCACCTGGTCACGTTTACGATCGCGTAAAGTTTGCGTTAGTTGCTTAAGCTAACGCACTGCCAGCCAAGCTCGTCCGCATGCGAATAAAGATGACGTGCGTTAGGCCATACGCACAAGGCGAACCGGTGCGTTATCAGTGCTTAAAATCGCGTTACATCGCGTTAAACTCGCGTTAAAGCCTCGTAACGCGAATTTAACGCGACGTAACGCGACCACCCGTTGTCATAGTGGTGATGGCGGCGACGGCGGCGGGGAGTGCTGCTGCTGCGGTGGCAGCGGCTGCAGGTGGCCCAGTGGCTGCAGTGCGGCTATGGTGGCTGCCGTGGACCAATCTGTCTGTCTCTCTGTCTTTCTGTCTCTCAAGTGGTAAGGTAAACCGGTCAGTGCTATGAGAGCTCTCCCTGACGGATGGACCAGACGGGATGATGGCCAGACGAGGTCACCGGCGTGGCAATGCAAAAGTTCAGTTCAGGTACATACCGACAGAGCTGCGGCGAGGGTGGAGAAGGTGACATGTTAGCACCTCAGCTGGAGGTGTTGACAAGCACTGGGATTGGTCCATGGTGCCATTTTGGAGCAGTAGAAGGGACTGGCGGAGCTTCATGAACCGGTCGCACGTGCTGATGAATTAGAAGTTGTGGTCAAGTGATTTCGGTCACAGACTGTCTGAATTTCTCTAGTGTTCTTTTGGTTCACTGTTCCGATAGGATGCGAACTGCGTCTGGACTGACTTTTTGTTCGGTCTTATCGTACAAACAAAACCTCCAGGTCCTATTTGTTCACTAAAGCCGCAAAATGGCTTTTCCGCTGATTGTAACAACTGTTGAAAACTGACCAGCACATGTATATCAGTTCAGGCACTACTGGTAACGCACACACTGATGCCCCGGAGGCTCCGGGATCCGGGTCGAAAATCCTTTCCGATGGTGGAAGGTAGGTAAGAGCGTCCCCTAGTCGATGGACGGTGGTGATCTGGGAAAACGTTGACCTGCGAGCTGACCAGGAATGTAGTTGAGCCGCCGTTGATCCGGAAGATTCCTGTTGTATCCATTTCCACTGTTTACGTGGTAGTGAAAGCTACCGATTGGTGAATGAATGAAGGTTAAATGCCTCAGCGATAATGACGACCTGTACAGCAATCTGTACGATCCGAGAATGTAGTCGTCAACGCGAATTATCACCAATCGGTGCAATCGTAACCCAAGTGGGTCTACCAGTGACCAGTGTCACGATTATAGCAAAAGCGCTATAACCCAGTATCACACCTGATAAAAGATAGGCAAGTGCCCAATGGTTAACCAAGTAAGAGCGAAGATAATGCCAAGTGGCGAAGTGCCAGAGTCTCGGGGAAATTCCGAAGGTAAATATATTAGTGTGCCACAACAATTCCGTTGGATGCCGGTGGCGGCTGCTAGAGGGTAGGACACACAGAGTACGGTAAACAGGTGTGCAAGTTTTCCTGCTCCATGTCGTGGGATCGAAACCAATACGCACATGAGGCACTTGTAAGCGGTCCCCTTGCAAAGTTTTCTGTAAATTCCTTAAAAGTTATGTGCTTCCGGATGCCAGCCTGAGCCAATCCTGCCAACTCGACAGCCAATTCGACACCCTGAACACGCTAATTCGATACCCTGCAAGGCCAATTTGACACCCCGAACAGGTCAATTCGATACCCTGTCAGGCTAATTCGACACCCTGTTAGGCCAATTCGGCACCCGGACAGGCCAAGTCGACACCCGGACAGGCCAATTCAGGTCCAGCACAGCCCAATTCCGAGGCTCCACAGCGCAATTCGAATACCTCCGGCGAGCCCGCCAGAACAATTCAAGACCTCGACAGACCAATTCTTTTGTCAGGAATAAAATCCAGGCTAATTCTGCGACAGAGCTCTTCCCTAATTCCAGCCCGGATCCTACCCTCCTCGGATGCCGAACCTGAGCGGTCCACTGAGGAGTTGGCTAGTGTAACTAGTGTAACTAGATGATAAGATGCCCCGAAATACCGGGGAAGGCAGGGTCTACATCTGCCGGGTAGCGTTTCCGCAGGGTGAAGGTATGGGCTCCCCTGTCCCACACATCATACCAGGAAATGGCGTCGTCAGTAACAGGACCGGGAGGGGTCTGGTGCTTTGCTGTGAGTAACAACTAGTGCTCATCGGGACTTTCCCTCTTTCAGCTACGTGAAATCCTTCTGGTACATGGACGTGACTAAATCCCGCTGCTCAGTCTTGTACAGGGAATCAGGCAAGCTGTGAATGATCTGCACGGTGGTGTTCTCCTCCGACATGTGATAATGCTAATACCTATTCAACCTCTCATACAGGTTCACTGCAACCGTTATGTAATCATCCTCCCACATTGTAAGCGACTGGATTGACTGCACCACCACATTCAGCTTGGCCTCATTCAACAGCCCAGCCCACTGTTCCAGCCCCACCCAAAGATCCTTAGCTTGGGTGGTGCCATCGATGATGGTCTTGTGGTCGGTTGCAGTCAGCTGCAGAATGATGAGAGGGCATGTCTCCCTGATCTTTTTCACCACCAGCTCACATCAGCTCAGCAGGATGTGCATAGGTAGGACAGAGGATCACGGACAGGTCCTCACGCTCCGGAATTGCCGTCATCTTTTGAACCAATCTGCTGAGTTGGAGGTCTCCAATACCTCTCTCTAGTTGCTGAAGTCTGAGAGAGCCATTTCAATTAAACCTAACTTGACAGCTGCAGCTCAGCTCGATTCGTTAGGAGTTCCTGCGGTGATGAAGCCTAGCTAGGGCGGCTGAGCAATCGTGGTGTTCAGAGGACGAGCTCCTTGTGCAGTTGTAATCCGAGTTGCACCCTTGGCGGACGGGCTCCTCTTGGAGGCCCATTTCGAGGTATTAGTAATGCTGTGCGTACTGTTGCAGGCATTCGTAATCGTGTATTCAACGCAGTAATAACAAAGTGAATCGATACTGTGTAAACCGGCAATTAATACCACTTCCTGACGTGGATTATAGACGTTGGCTGTACCGTAAGCGAAACCTGCGCAGCCATGGTCTTTGTTAGGAGGTCTTTGTTAGCCAAGCAGGGCTCCTCGAGCATATAGATGATCATATGCAATTCAATAATAACATATATCCAAACGCCCGCATCTCGTGAACAATCATCAACTAGCTTGACTCAAGGACACATGCTCTTACGCCGGTCACAGATAACAGCTATAGGCACAGGCAGTAGGTCCTCCACTTCACGCAGCAGGCATGTGCCAAATACTGGATACAGTGCGGCGCGGCTAAGCGTCTCAGGGCCTACGGCTTCGGTGTCGACTTCGGCATCGGAACCGCCCAAACCCGGGAAATGCTGGCTTGTTGGCGCGGGCCCGGGCCCGGCTGACTACCTCACGGTGCGATACTGCGTGCGGTCCTGCCGTGTTCGGCTTTACAACACTCCCAGCAGTACTAGTGAAAGCCGTATCCATGCCGCCACAATCTCCAAACAACCCCCCCGCGCACCGGGACATCCCAGCCCTCCAAACGCGCCTCCCCTTCCCCCCATGTTCCATTGGTCCATGTCGTTCATGTTCCCCTAACTCGCTCAAACTGCTCCTAACACTCAATGTCCTCGTACATGCGTGTATGCCTCCCTATCACAACTCCTTGTATGCCTCCCTGAATGCCTCCCTATCACAACTGGTGATACCCGCGAGCCTACCCAGCACCATTCGCTGCCTGCTACATATAGTAACTCCGCCCCCTTGACGCTGTACATCCCGTCAACATTGCCTTCCTCCTCCACCCTCTTCATGCTTCCCTCCCTTCCCCCAAACCGCTCTCAAAAGCACGCAGATGAAGGCCGTACGGCTGCTGCAAACCGCTGACGTGGTCGTGTACGATGACCTGGGCTCACAGGTACACGGCGCCCCACGCCATGGGAACAAACCCCGGACGGCCCCCTCAGCACTTGGAGCTTTCCCACCTGCATACCATCTGTCCACGTATCTATCTACCTATCATTATTATTTGCTAATCTCTTAATCTTCCTTATCTATCTACTTTGCTGTCTACTCGCTGTCTACCTACTTGTCTACTCACTACACAGGACTCGCTGGGCCTGGTGCCCCCGTCCGCCGAGCTTGTGTATGTTGGCAAGCGGGGCGGGCGGGAGAGCATCAAGCAGCCGCAGATTAATGAGCTGCTGGTGGCCAAGTGCGTGGAGGTGCGTCAGGGACGGGGGGCCCGGAAGGGGAGAGAGAACGGAGCAGGGTTGGGCCGCACCAAGGAAAAGGAAAAGTGTGGGAGGGGGCACCGGGAGGGGGCAATGGGAGGGGGCACCGGCGCCTCAATCCACGAACACAGTCACAGCCCCAGCCGGGGTCCCCGTCTCAACCTTACCGGGGGCTGTTGGGGCCCTTGGGTCCTCGTTCCCTTGCTGCGGAGATATCCTTTTCAAGCCCACGAACTGCGTTTGGGCACAAGAACTGCATATTTTATAAACAAGCTTCTTTATATCTCACCCATACGCACATACATACGCACAGCTCCCCACCCTTCCCCCCTTCCCTTCCGTCCCTGAAACACCTTTCCCGGGTTGCTACTGCTGGTGCTGCTACTGCTGCTGCTGCTGCTGCTGCTGCTCAGGGACGCAATGTCGTACGACTCAAAGGCGGCTGCCCCTCCGTCTTTTCACGGGTGGCTTCTGAGGTATGCGTGTGCGTCTATGTGCACGTGTGTGTCTGTGTGTGTGTGAAGTGCTACCAAGCGCCCCCAAAACACACATGTGGAGGGGGCGGGGAAATGAAAAAGTGGAGGCAATCCCTCCCTCCTCCTCCCCCTCCGCCGCCTCTTGCAATGGAACCCTACACGGCTTCTAGCCCAACCCCCCATCCCACCATCCTTTCCCCCCTTTTTTTTGGAGTTTGAAGTTTCCATCAATTTCTGACTCTGGACAACACTGGCAGTTCACTGCCCAGTTTCTCGCCCATAATCATGATTCCCTTCTGGAGCTCAAACAGCAACAACTGCACCTTCACTTGAAAGCCCCTTCCGACCGGCTGCCCCGGGCCCCGAGCCCGGGGCCCAACCCCAGCTCCGCCGCGGTTCTGACCCTCCTACACGACAGGGCCCTGGACACGACAGGATCCAGCATTAGGTCAAGAAGCATCGTCAAAATACTCAAGAAGCATCGTCGGCTCCGTCGTCGGCTCCACCAAACCCCGCTTACCTCCCCACAACATACATACAGACAGACAGAAATACATAGTGTCCTCTGTGATGTACTACTGCTACTGCAGCTGTTATTACTGCTGCTACAGCTATTGTAGCTGCTGTTGCTGCTGCTGCATTTTTGTGCGGCCTTTCGGCCCATGGGTCCAATATTACCCCCGTTCTATGTCCATCCGATGTAGATGGCGGCGCTGCAGGCGGCCGGCATTCCGTACGAGCTCGTACCGGGGGTGTCGTCAGCGCTGGCGGCGCCGCTGTTTGCGGGTACGTGGTGATGTCGGCACGGTTGGCTGTGTTTCAGCGGTTAGGGCCGTTGGGACGGTTAGGATTGCGGCACGGCCTGTCCAGTCCGCCAATCTGCTACCACGCTTCTGGACGTAGTGTGTATGTATGTGTGTATGTGTCCATGACGACGACAACGACATCAGGCGGCCTCCGTGCATCTCTCCCCCTTCCCCTTACCTTTCCCCCTCTCCCCCTTACCATTTCCACTCTCCCTGCCCCTTCCCTAACTCCCCCTTACCTTTTCCCCTTCCTATCCCTCCCATATCTCTCTTTCCCCCTCGTCTTGTCTTGTCTTGTCAGGATTCCCGCTGACCCACGCCACTCTGAGCCCTTCCTTCACGGTGCTGTCCGGACACGACCCGGACTCCACCGACTGGGACGCACTGGATCCGGGGTTGGGGGCGGGAGGGGGAGGGGGAGGGGGAGCAGATTCCCCCACTCGCACCTTGGTGGTGCTGATGGCGGGCAGGGCGCTGGGGGACATCGCCGGGAGACTGAGGGACACAGGCTGGCCGGACGACACGCCGGTAGGTTCGTGTGTATGTGTGTGTGGGGGGGAGGGGTTACTACTGCCGTACTGCTATAAGTTTAAGGGTTCCGGAAAAGGGGGAGGGAAGGGCTAGAGCGGGGCGAGTGAATGGTAGTGTTTCATGGAGACGAGTGAATGGTAGTGTAAGCCTCAGCTAGCGGGTTGACGGACATTTCTCAATCGATGTGTGAAGGATGAGGGATGGGTGTGCGTGCTTCTTTGTTTCGGTTGCCCGGCCCCCTTGGGTGAGGAAGGCGAAGGGGAAGGCGAAGGGGGCCGGCCTGTGATAGGAGGGGAAGGCGAAAGGGGGCTGGGATGAAAGGGGAAGTGGGGTATGGGATGGGAGAACGCGACGGCCAGCAGGAGTGGGCATAGGGGTTGGAGGGGGGAATTGCGGGTGAGAAGGTTATGGGATGCACGGGGACCTGCCGCACCACCGTGGACTCGTTTCGCGTGTGCTTAGTGGCTTTAAGGCGCCTTCGCGTGTTGGTCGAGTGACGGTTTAAGGGTGTAGAGATCGTTCTGCTCCGCGGACGCCCCACTCCACCCGCCCTTCATTCGTCATCCAGTTTGGGAACGTGCTTTCATCTCCGGGCTTTTCTTAAGCTCACTGACCTGCTTCCGCCCCTTTACACCTAACAGGTGGTGGTGGTGCGGGCTGCGGGACTGCCGGAGCAGAAAGTATGGTATTCAAGGCTGGACAGTGTCAAAAAGAACACGGAGGACGCAGGTTCACTTTCGCCATGCGTGGTCGTGATAGGGCGGGTGGCTGGAACGCAACGGCAGCTGACGTAGATTGTCCGGCAAAGATGACAGTTGTCGAAGAGAGCCAAACTTTGGATTCAGGGCCAGGCACCTGAGATGTGTGTTCATGTTACATGAAGATATGTGTAAACGTAATTTCCTGTGGCTTCTAGCGTTGGTGGTGGATGTCCCGCAACAGATCGTGTTTCCAACTGTCGTCTGAACGTCATGACTTGTCACTGCCAAACGTCAGACTTTTGAGCTCAAAAGGTGTACATGATAATATGAGCGAGCATATCTAGCGCTTACTTTTACTGTTGTTGCTTCCATTACTAGCTCTTCTACCGTTGTTGACTTCAGTGGAAACTTAACGCACCTAGCTATGGCGATCCTGTAGGAAAGCTATAGATGTAGACCACTTCATGTTCAAAAGCGTATAGCCAACGTTTGACGCACAGCTTCAGCGGCCTGAGGTCCTTCCGGCCTGTAGGGCTACGCAGCAATCGACATGCACCGTGGCCAGCTTTCAAGGGACGCTGTGGCATCTACATCTGGACGCTATGCTGGGCAGCGATCTTGCTCTGGGGGATTAACTAGCCGGCGCCCGCGATGGGTCCCACAAGTGCCAAGGTACGTCCTTTAAGGTAGAGCAACAAGCTGCAGATCACCAAGGTGAAATATCACAAAATGCAAAGACTTTGCCCATCAATCTATCGCTACTCCTCCAGGCCCAACTTGGCTCAGCTTGAGTTCGCAGCCCCCCATGTACCGGCAATGGCCGTAGCTTGCCGGGCGGCGCCCGGGTGAGTTCCGGCCATACCACAACAATTCATCTTGCATGTATACTCCTTGGCTAAAACCTCAGCTTGGTGAGGCATCACGCCTCCGCAACCTAGCCTACCTGCATCCCCCGGTTTCGCTTCCTTGTGGCCGGACCCTTCCCTTCATCTGAAGTTTGCCCGGCACAACACCGACCTTTGCAACTCTCTCCACCCTCAGCGCAAGGGCTGCATGACCATGTGCAGCTGATTTTTTCCCTTCGCCGTACGAGCTCCTCCCCCGTGTCCGGCTATTCAATCTCTTACCCGCCATCGGCAAGCACCTTGCTCATTATCGCAACCCTCTTTTCAACACACTACCCCTTGCGACCACCACCACCGTGTCTCGTCCCCGATCCCCTCCACATGCTGCAGGGTGCCCTCCGCAACTCCTGTAACCACCTCGTCCACAACCGCAACTTCTACCTCGCTGCCGAACGGCACATCGGCCCTTCCTAGCCCAGATGACCAGCGAACCCCCTCGGCTAGCAGCCCCAAATTACCAACCCCGGAAAGCACCCTACAGTACCAGGAGCAATCCGCGCAGTCCCAGCAGCCCCAGCCTCCATCCTCGTCATCGCCTCCTCCTCCTCCTCCCCCTGAGGAAGATGCTGCCTGGCGCGCCTCGGCAGAGGAACGAGTCCGGCGACTCAACACTCTGGTAGAAACGCGGCGACTGTACCGCAACATTGTTCGTGCCGAGTACCTGCTCAACCTCGGCAGCCCACTGTACACGCCACCGCCGCCGCCACCGCCTGCGACGGCAGAGTCGGCCGAGGGTGGGTGCAAGGAGGGTTGCGGGACGGAGCTGGGGATGGAGCTGCCGAGAGGAGCTGCGTGAACCCCTATTTTCACCTTCAGCCCTCCCTGTTGGGATGGCCCATCTAAAGTTTGGGCGAATGCAAAGCGGCCTTCGGCTTTCCGCCGCATGTGGGAAAGCTCGCGCAGCTGTCCCATGCCCCATCTCCTAATTGAGCAGATTGGGCATTGCGGATTCGTCCTTACTCCTCCCCAACTCCCTGCTGCCATGCCGCCCCATCTGCTTTTCTGTCGGTGCAGAGTCCGCCACAAGCGGCAGCAGCGGCGGCGTTGCGGCCGTCGGGGCTGTCGGCGGCTGGTCTGACGTGGATGCCGACCGGGTCGCCAGCGCTGGGAGCTACAGTAGCAGCAGCAACAGTAGCTCCCTTTCCTTGACCCTACCCACATCGCCGTCACCTTCTCGCGGCCCTGAAGAGGATAAGGCCCTCAAGGCGGCGCTGGACTCGGTGGCGGAGATGGCGTTGGTGCTGGAGCAGCTCAAGGTACGGAAAATAGATACCGGTCGTCTGTATGTACAACAAAGATGTATGCACGATGCATGATGTACCATCCAGCGCCATACCGCATGCCTGGGGTGCGGTGCTGTTCTGTAGGACGGGTTTGTACTATCCTCATCAGTGTCCGCGACGTCCACCCACCTAACGCGCTCAACTGCCAACCCCCACCGTTTACAGGCAAGTCTGCGGTCCTTGCCTGCCGGTTTCGGAGCCGCTATCTTCCCTGCCTCCACCTCCTCCACCAGCGAGGAGACAGTGCGGGAGGTGGCTCGGCAGCTGGTGGCGGGGCTGAGGGAGCGACTGGCGGCGGAGCTGCCACTGCTGCCCATATCCAGGTGCGGAGAGAGAGGGGGGTCCTAGCCGGGAGGGGGAGACGAAAATCCAACCCAGAGGAGGGCAAAGGAGGGGTAACCGTGTATTATATCATTGATACCCCTCCCCTTTTCTCCGAGCTCCTACCTGTCTTCCAACTTACAACCAACCAACCGCAAACAAGCAAATCACCAATCACCTAACATGTCGACATACCTCGTGTTCGCGCAGTGACGCGGCCATCCACTACATTGAGACTCGCAACGCCAAGTTCAGTCGGCGAGTGGCACTGGACGAGCTCCAGGGGGGGTCAGGAGGCGGAGCAGGGAGCGGCAGCAGCGGTGCTGCTACCAATGCCGGCGGCATGGGCGGTGGCTCAACGGGCAGTATTGCTGGCAATAGCATCGCTGGCGGCGGCGGCAGCGGCGGCGGGGTTGCAGCTGATCTGGGAGTTGGCGGCGGGTCCGCGGTTCGTGCGACCCCCCTGGAGCGGTTGGAGGTGGGTGGGTGGTTGTGGCTGGTTGGGTAGGTGGTAGTTTGTGGGCATTGTGGTGTCAGGCATGGAAAATGATATCAGACATGGACGATTGATATTATATACATGTGCTATGTGCGATGCAAATGTTTGTGGACTGAGCCTGCTCTCTGTGCGGGCATGTCGCCGCCTCTGTAAGCCCCTGTAACTCACTCCTGGCCTCCACTCCACTTCCGCGGCTGCTGCGCGGCCTCCCCTGGAGCGACACTGCCTGGCACCCCTCCCTCCCCCACATGCGCACTGTAACAAATACACCTCATTACCGGAACTGTTTCCCTACCCTAAACCCGTCAAACCCCAGCTCCCGCTCCGGACGTTGGCGGTTAACATTGTCTGTGATATGTACAATATATACAATATTGTGAAAACGCACCATCTATTTCCCTTCCCGTGCTCCCCTGTGATTTCCCTTTTTCCCCCCAAAATATACACACGCACACACACACACACACACACACACACACCGTCTCAGGCTGCTGAGCGTGTTGCTGGTGAGATCATCGCCAACCGGATCAAGCCCGCCCTCAAGCGCGCCTCCGAGCAGGACCTGGTGCAGGTGGTGCGGGGCACCGGTTCCTACCTGAAAGGCCTGTGGGTGCGGCTGAATGGCGGGTCACCGGCCGCTGGGCGGTGGGGCGGCTGGATGGGGGCGGTGGGGGCTCTGGAGGGGCGGGAGCTGCCGCGGCCGGAGGGCGCGCAGCAGCGGAGTGAGCTGGTAAGAAGAGGGGAAGCGGGCCTCAGGGAGGGGTAGTTAGGGTTGAGGAGGGGTACTCAGCTGAGTGGGAAGAGGTAGTTGGGGAGTTAAATGGGGTTTCGAGTGGTGTGGTTGGGAGGTGTGTAGTAGGGAGCGGTGTAGTAGGGAGGGGGGATAAGGCCGTGGAGGAGGGTAAGGTGCCGAGGCCGTGGGCGTATTGTTGAGAGAGGGGAACGGAAAACAGATCTGAGTCACGGGGTATGGGGGAAGGTGCAAGTTGGCTAGGGGTCGGCTAGGTGTTGAGGTTTTAAGCCAGGAGAGGTGTTATGCGGTGTTGTGTTGTGCACGTAGATATTGTTTTGTTCAGGGTCAGCATCATTCTGTGTCATTGACATGTGCTTTGGACGACGGTAGTTGACTCCTAACGGCGTTTTGTGGTGAATTTTGCACCACACACGTACCCTTTCCCCCTGACTCGCTGCCTGCCCCCTTGGCGACTCAACCCCCCCTTTTGCTCAGGCCATCAGCCGGCTCAGCCTGGACCTGGAGGCGTTGGAGAAGAGGCTGCAAGAGGCGTCCAAGAAGAGGGAGAACAAGTTGCGGAAGGCGGGGCTGCAGGGAAGAGTGCAGGTAGGGGGGTGGTCTTGGCGCACTGGGCAGTGGCAATAGATGCTATACATATATTGCTACAATATATGCATACATATAGTATAGCATATATAGCATAGTTGCAACCCCATCTTCCCCTCACCTAAACCCATTTTTGCATGTCAATCCCCCATCCATTCCCTAACATCCCCCACGTCCCACCCACCCCCCACCCCCTGATGCCGCCTAGATGGCCATCCAGCTCAAGGGCCTGGATGCGGAGGTGCTGCACCTGAGCTCCCTGCTGGCGGTACGAACACTGCAACTGGAAATGGAGCATGTGTACGGCAGTCTGGAGGCGGAGGCGTTGGATGTGTTTAACGGACTGCAGCCGGGAGGTGAGGGGTGCTGGGAGTTGGCGCTCTTTTTGCTGCTCTCTACCCCGTACCCGTAGCCTGTCCGCGTATCCGTTCAGGTGCCCTTCAGGAAGTCTTAGGCTCTCAGGTCTTTCTTGTCCTCAGGACTTCATAGATCTCATAAGACTTCCTTGTGCTCAGGACCCTACTGTTTTCAAAAGACTCAGAACCCGCAGCCCTCCCCTCGCTTTTTCCTCCTTCCTCTTCATGTTCCACTTACTATCACTGCGACTGCTGCTGCTGCTGCTGCAGGTCTGCTCGCCCGCGACGGCTCAACCAACGAGTTGGCACTTTTGGTGGCGGAGTTTGCCTTGTTGGACGAGCAGCTGACGTTGCTGGCGGCCGCGCTGGAGGGAGGCACAGCGGCGGCGGCAGCTGCGGCGGGAGGTGCGGCGGAGGAAGGTGCGGCGGCGGCGGCGGGTGGTAGTGGTTCTGCGCCAGCGGGGGGTTCGGCTACCGCGGCTACGGCTGCTGCTGCGGCTGCTGCTGCTGCGATGGGTCCGGCCCTGGTCAACGACGACGTGCTGAGCAAGCTGGCGTTGGAGATACCGGATATGCGCAGCCGAGTGGGGGTCGCGTGAGTACTGGGCGGGTGGGGTGGGGAGGGTGGAGGACGAGGATAGGATGGGGGCGGCGGTAGGGGGCCCTAACAGCTTTACAACAACAACATCATCATTATCATACATATGACTGAGATTTACACGAGCGCATCGCTTTAGATGCGCGGGCGGTGTAATGAGTTGTCCTGCCTCACAGCGGCCCCTCCCCTGTCCGTTCTCTAACGCCTCCTCAACCCCTTCCTAATCGTGCTCCTCCTCCTCCTGCTGCTGCTGCTGCTGCTCCCTCCCTCCCTCCCCCGCTGCTGCTGCTGCTCCCTCCCTCCCCCAGCGATCAGGTGGTGTTCGGCGGCCAGGGTTTCTCGCTGACTAAGGCCCGACTGCAGATCGGTGAGAGCCTGGACAAGGTGCGGGAGGCGGTCACCTTCCTGACCCGGGGCTTCAAACTGCTGGGCTCGGACATCGCCACGGGGGCCAGACTGTTCGTCAAGGCGGCCCTGGGTGAGTGTCCGGAGAGTGGGGGAGGGGAAGAGGCCGGTTGGGGGTTGGGTGGGGAATAATGACATACATGCAGAACGTTTATTACTCAACTGCCGAAGATCAACTGAATAAGAAGTCCAAAGCTAAGCTCCATTACCTGCTGTTTTGGTCCTAGAGGAGTGATGGCGGCGGCTGGTGTGACTCACAATTGGGTATTGCTCGCAAGTCGCAACATGCAAGTGTGGGCAGAGGTGATACGCACGTGTCGGTGGTGGGTCGTCCGGGGGATGGCGTGCACGCTGGCGCCCGCCCTAGCAGGATCTCTCCGCGCGTGTGTGCGTGCGTGTGTGTATGTGTGTGTATGTGTGTGTATGTGTGCGAGGACAGCACTGTGTGGGAGGGCTGAGGTGCTTGCAGGACAGAGGACCCGCTGTTATGGTATGGTATGCCATGTTGTGGGGTCGTGTGTGCGTTGTCCTCCGGGGACGAGTCCTCCCAAACCCAAAGCAGCTTCCCCCCCACAAGGCACTGAAGGCCCCCTCCCTCCCCACGCTCCCATGCATCCTTGGCGTCCTCTCCACAGCTGTCCAATGGCCCCATCCCCCAGATGCACCTTCCCCCATTCGCCGATCTCGCGACCCTGGAGACTCTGTATTGTTCATAGGGTCTAGAGAGGTTGCCTTCACCACCCACACGATGAAATAATGTTCGCTTTTTACATCGCCCCGCACCGGCAACTCCACGAGCACCTACCTGCCCATCCTACGCTCCCGCCCTCGCTACCATGAACACCGGCACGCGGGTCATAGAGCAGCTCTTATTAACTTACAATAAGGATAGATACAGCCCGAGGTCGGGGGAAGGGACCTCGCCGTCCATAGAACACCTACTTATACATACATACATACATACATACATACATACATACATACATACATACATACATACATACATACATACATACATACATACATACATACATACATACATACATACATACATACATACATACATACATACATACATACATGCATGCATACATACATACATACATACATACATGCATACATACATACATACATACATACATACATACATGTACTTCCGCCTTTCGTTTGAAGACTCTTGCCCCGCCAGCCCCCCGAATTTCCAACGTACTTCTCCTCCCGCCCACCCCTGCCGCGCCGCCGCCCGCCTCCTGATCCTGATTATAGGCAACACGCTCAAGCCTCGTGAGGTGTCCGCCCTCCGCCGCACCGCCCGCGACCTGCTGACCTTCATTCCCTTCACCATCATCCTGATCATCCCGCTGTCCCCGCTGGGCCACGTGCTGGTCTTCGGCTTCATCCAGCGCTACTTCCCGTCGTTCTTCCCCTCGCAATTCTCCACACGCCGGCAAGAGATCATGGTCAGGTGCGAGGCAAGCCGAACTGAAGTGGCCCGGGGGCGGGCGGGTGGGCTGACACTTGGGCGCGAGGAGCTGGCAAAGCCGGGCCCCACTCCCGTGCTTTCATTTCAGCCTTTGCTTATCCTTAATCCTTATCCAAGGATGGATTACCCCTACTGACTGCGTTTTTTAAGGTAAAAGCCCAGCGTATTCTGGTCGCCGTGGTAAGCTCACACGACGGTGCGGCTTTGGTTTCTCCCTACCCCCCACCCTCCAAAACAGTAGAATAACATAAAAGAAGAGGAAAATTACTCTTAACAGTATGTATTCATGATCTTCAGCAAAATGGGCGTCAGGCGGTTTATGCCCGGGCAGTATGTATGGGCGTCAGGCGGTTTATGCCCGGGCGAACCCTTTCCCAACTTCCCAACAAAGGTTTTAGCTGTTAAGAATTCGAGGATTCGCCGTATCTGACAGATTCCAATAACGCCATCTTTATTATTATTGCTGTTGTTGTTATTATTACGTACTTTTCCTTTCGTGTATGTAAATACTATTCCACCACGATCGCCCAACAATCTCGATCCCGCAAGGTACGAGGAGTTGGAGCGGCAGCTGTTGGAGGCCCAGGCAGCTGTGGAGGAAGCGGAGGAGGAGGTGGAGCTGGCCCGGGCCCGAGAGGCTGTGGCTAGACTCACTGCTCCGGAACCACCAGCGTCGGTGGCTGCAGCGGTGACTGAGGCTGCTGGTGGAGGCGCAGGCGCACCAGCCGGGAAGGGCGGTGACGGCTCTGGTCGCGGTGCCGCTCCAACAGCGGTGGCGTCGCCGGGTGGCGGCGGCCCGGGTGCCGGCGGAGCCGGCGGCAGCAGCAGCGGCTTAGCAGCAGCAGCAACAGCCGCGGCGGCAGCTGCGGAAACGGCCGGTAACGGCGGTGGTGGCAGCGGCGGCGGAGCCGCCGCCGCTGCCGCTTCACCGAATGCGGTTGCCAGTGTTGACGAGGTGACGCTGCATGAGGCCGCGAAGAAGGCGAGTTCGTGCGGTACATTCAGCTGAAAACCATAACGGTGTATCCCCTCCGGTCGTCACCGCATCCCGCTGAAATACCACCTACTCGCACCCAGCTCCAACATGTCGACATGCAACATGCATTAATGAGCATTAATGAGAGGTTGAGGTCGGCCTTTCCCCACGTCGCTCTTTCCTGCCTAACACTCCTGGCCGCTGCATTGCCGGGCCGCGCTCCCATCACTCACTATACCACCAACGTCTCCGTAACCCCGCCTGTGGTCCCTGCTGGCCTGACAGGTCCGAATCTTGGCAGAGCAGTTGGACGAGATTCGAGATGACGTACATTTGGTGGATCCGCTCGTGGAGGGGGCCGGCGGCGAGGCAGCGCACGGGGCCGACGGGAGCGGAGGAGGAGCGCACGGCAAGACGCGGTTTCACTGATGGATGACTAAAACCGCAAAGAGCCACTTTACCCCTCTTGAGGTAGCGGGCCCCACTCGGCCCGCCCATTCCTTCCTTGTATAATTAGGGGGTTGGGGTGGGGACCTTCGGCAGAAAGCTCTTCACTTACTGCGAGGGAACCCGACCGTGGCGGTTGTGGTTAACGGTTGTTCTGCCTTGTTCTGGGTATTTGTTCTTCTCTGTGTCTGTTAGGGTGTTGGAAGCAGGAAGTTCGACACGCTGCCAATGAGGAGGCTCACGTGTGGGGCTATGGTTGCGAGGGAGCTGGGTGGGTGGGTGGATTTAGGCTCTCAGCTCGACAAGTTTGATTGAGGGTTTCGAATTGCGGAGTCGGCCATCACCCGCAGGTTGACGCACACCTGTCCACCTTCCCCTTTGGGGTCGAGACCTCCAGAGTTTTGGAATGCTTCGGGTCGACTGCGGCATTGAAGAAGAAGAGAAGAAGAAGCACGCAATATTGAAGAGACAGATTCTCGAGACCCAGGGACCATCGGGTCGGAGCGAAGGGTGTATGTGTATGTATGTGTGTATGTATATAGGGGAACCACCCGTCCAGGGCTTTGTGAGTGTAGATGTTTTTGGGTCCAGGGATGTTTGTAGAGGCGAACAAGAAAGTAGCACTAGCTGTGGGAATGAGTAATGGGATGAAGGCAGCCCCTCAGCCTCGTTTTCCTCAGTGACCCGTAATCCTCAGTCTCCCCTTCTTCACGTCTTGTTCCATGTCCTCAGCGCCGGCCAGCCAGGATAGCAGTGATGGTACTGTTCGAGTTGCAACCGGCGCCCTTGTCTTTTATCTCTTTAAGCTTTCGGTTGTATTGGGAAATGCGTTTCAACTCTTGTGATCAGCTTTTTTTGGTCACGATGTCCTGTTTCAAAAATGGGCTATGGTTGAAGTGTGTGCATGTCCTAATGGGTGCGCAGTAAGATGCGACATGCAGCATGGGTACATCTGGTCTCCATGCGGTCGCGTTGTGGGTTGCCTAGCAGTCCTATGGGTCCCTATCTTGCCCCTGAGGTTCAGGATGGACGTGATGACGAGACGACGAGGTGGAGTATGGAATGCCGCCATTTTTGTGAAGGGAGCCATCCGAGGAGCATTGACAATGGAGAGAACATCTTGAACGGGTTTGCGTTTTTTTCCCTGCCTTTGCACTTCATTTTCCGCTTGAGAGTTTTTGGAGAGAGTTTTTAAAGCTAATAAGGGCTCCTAGGGGGTCGCTGCTTTACCCGCGAAGTATGTTTTGGGCGAGGGCGAGCTGCACGACTTGACTGTACGACCCTGCAAGGTGAAGTGATTCACGTGCCCTTCTGATTGCTTGGTCCAGTTTGGCGTTGGGGTCTATTCCAGTATAGACATTCGCATGACTGCGCAATCTCACAGCTGCAAACCAGCAAAGCAACCTTGTGACTGTTTGCGGAAACTACGTGTACGTAGCGTAACATTGCGTACCCCGGACGCGCAGAGGACTGTGTATGACGGCAGTGTGGGGAACAACGTCCCTGCAGCTTTGGCGCTTCTGGGAAGAGCGGGAAGCAACCTGCTAGCGCGGGCGGGTCTCTGCACGCGCAGCTGCGGGGCCCACCCTCTCTTACGAAAGTCAACCTAATCGTTGCGAGATTCAACAACAATGGCGTCGTTTACGCAAACACCGTGCCAACAGCGCATGTAGCGTAACGCAAGACCAGGCTAACATCTATTTCAAAAAAACCCGAACTCCAAGTGGGTCCAACGGTACTGAACACAATCTGGAACACTCTTTGGTCTCTCCACATGTTCTCCGGCATTTCAACATCGCCCGTGTATAAATGTGCGAACCCTGTACGACGAGGGGTTGCTGGTAGCTTTCGCAGACGTGTTAGGCCGGCAGCGTGCGAGGACGAGCCGTGCGCGTGCACAGATACCTAGCGGCAGAAGTGTCCAAGTATTGGCCAGTCTACGCGGCGCATGAGCAGCGCCGGCCAACTATGCCTTACCGCCCCCAAAACCAGCTGGACACACACACCATGTGAAGGTCATTGAAAGACACCCATGCCTTGGGGGACCTGCACCAGGATCTCCACTCCCCTTGCCAACGCGTTATCAACCACATCATGCTTCACACTCTTCCAGAAACCCCCAACTCCCAGCTCTCGAGCGTCATTCCAAGTCCAGGAAGTCCATCCGTGCCCGTATCGTACTTTTAAGCTTATTCAACTCTTTCTCACCCTTCAGTGCTTCTTTTATGGCTGCGGGGGAGACTTGTGTGAGGCCCTCCGGCGCGTCCTTCTCCTCATCGACTCTCCCTAGCAACACGACGTTCTCGCCACGGATGACTTGCAGACCCAGGGGTATGTCGCCATATTGATCACCCACGATAATCCGTTCTACTGCCCCCTCAATCACGAGGTTGGCAAACTGATCAAATGACCGTAGCACGCCCAGCACCTTGCGGCCATCGCGTAACACGATTAGGAGCCGTTGGTCGAGCTCCTCCGCCAGCGCTGTCCCAGGAAGCGGTACCTCTTGCAACGTGACATCCATAGCGCAGATTAGGGGCTAACTGACTGCCTTGTCACCAACTAGAGCGACAGAGTCAAATGTTATGTACGAAGAGCTTTCTCTTGTAAGCATGCATAGCCGCTCAAATATATTTATGGATGATTAGCAATAAGTGCAACTTGAGGCCTTTCTGAAAAAAAGTGCGATTGGAAACGTTAGGTTGAAAGCCCAAAGCTACTGGCACCTTTGCCTGTACAGCTGACCTGCTATCTTATATAAGGCGTTACCATAAAACACACATTACAAACAACGTATCCGGAGGTTAACTATTTCCCATGTACTACAAGCGCGCTTCGGCGGTTGCCAACTGCCTGCATGCCATTGTGTGACAATCAACGATTCATGCGTACATCTCCCTGGCCCAAAACGGACTGATTAGGGAGCATAAAAGTTGCAGCCCCGAAAACGTGCCTGTATTCTCCTCGATAGGCAACTTAAAAGGACGCCTTCTCAATGGCAGCATAAGCCCCTTCCGCTGTCACCTCTTGTAACTCTTGTACATGTTACGGGGCCTTTCATAACTCGTATGTAACAAGGGACCCCACGGTGTGCTTATCAGGGGTGTTGCATTCCGCATTACAGCTTCACGTGCCTATCACATGATATTTCCCCGCAGCCAATACTTTGCTCAGGCATCCATGAGTACCTTTCCTAAGCGCCCGTCAAACCCGCCAATCACACAGCTAGTGTACGGGACTGATCCCAACGCCTTGCCCTGGCCCCTGCCCCCCTGCACCCACACATCCCACCACCACCCACACACGCATGCACGCACGCACACGGCCATAATATGCAAAACTTGTAATAAAAGACTTTTCCCCCGGAAAAGGAATAGGAAGGCAAACGAAGGCATATCATCCCATCCCATCCGGAACGGTGGATACGGTGCGTGGACACGTGAGCTGTACGGCGGCTGTACGAGGCCTTCCTATCGTATATTAGAACGATAGATGTTTAAACCAGTTTGAGGCACACAGGAAGCGCAAAACGCCTTAAAGTGCAGTTGAGAGGACCTGCAAGGGAGGCCCCCAAAGGTGGCCCCCTCCAACAGCCGCTGTGCAGAGCTGCAGGTCCCCTCTCACCTCATTCTCCCTTCCGTTCCTCCTCCCTCCCTTTCCTCCTCCCTCGCTTTGATCACATCACATGAACACACACACACACACACACACACACACACACACATTATCATTACCATCACCACCAGCAGCAGTAGCAGCAACCGCAGCCCGTAATCCCCCCTCTCAAACTCTCTACAGTGCTCTCCCACCACCAGCTAGCGGGCTGGCTGGCCCGCCCCACCACACACACACACAAAACACACACACACACACACACACACACACGGTGCCCCTCCCCTCCCTCCCACACGCTACCCGGGAGGAGTCCCGCGCCCAGGACCTGGACCCCAGGTGCCCCCGCCGCTCCAAAACCAGTCAGCCACACAGCCTCAAGGTGATGGCAGGTGGTTGCTGTCATACGGGTAGTGAGGTCCCGGAGGTGCGGGGCGTTCCAAAACCATGTTGCCTGCTGCTCCGCCGCCGCGGTTCGTCAGGGACGTAATCCCTACCGGAGAGCCGCGCTGCCTTCCGGCAGTGCGTGAATTGAATCACTTTTTGAAAACCACGAATAACGTCATGCACCGGACGAATGTACGAGGGCTAACTACTCTTATCCATCAAAAGTCGCCATTGCCACCCGGCGCAATCTCCTCCTCCTCCACCGGCAAGTCGTCCTCGACCGCCTCCGCAGCCTCCGCTGTCGCCGTCACCACTCCCCCGCCCGCCGGCGTCACCTCGTGACTTGGCGGCGTGCCCGATGGCAGCGGCGGCGGTGCCTGCGGAGCGCTGCTGCCGGCGTCCGGCGTGACGTCGTACGGCGTGTACGTCCAGCCGAACGACCGACCTGCGCCGTACAGAGCAAGAGATGTTCTGCTTATTTGGACCCAATACCCACTCCGTAATCGGTACTTCGTCGGTACTACATCACTTGCCTGCCCGCCCATTGCCCGTGTGTGCTGTTCCTTACATGGAGACCTCCCAACCCACAAACACACACGTGCACACTCCTGCATTGCCCAGCGTTACTCCGCTCTCTTCATTTCCCCCGCCCCGTCTCCTTTTGAACTTCCCCCGCCCTTCCCCTTCCCCTTCCCTTTCCCCTTCCCCCTCCACCCACCTTCCGGATCCAGCGCTCCCCACACCTTCTGAGGCAGGTAGGGTCCGTGGTCCATGGGGGCCAGCTCCACCACATTGAACTGAAACATGGCCCAGTCGTAACCACCAACGGAAACCTGGTGCGGGGAATTTCAGTCTTAGAAAGGGGGTCAGGGGAATTTTTTAAAAAGTCCAAACCAGCGCTCCATTCCCGGGAGTGCTTTTTTCGTTTTCGATTTTGAACGTTTGTAAGTTTATCCCTTCCCGTGGTGGAAGAAGATGGTTGGTTGGAGAAAAGTGCCAGGGAAGCCTTCCCTTACCCCGCTGCCCATTCGCCCACCCGCCGCTTCCGGCGCTCCCCCAGTACACAGACAACATCCACAACCCCACAGCTTTACAGCTTTACACCCGCACACCTCTCGCCCAAAGCCGTGCCTCTGGAAAGCAATCAGCAAACGCCTCCCCTCTCCCCCCCTCCTCCCTCCTTTCCCCCTCTTCATTTCAGTTCATATCATATAAGTTTCTTGCATATGACGTTCCCCCCTCTCCCCTCCGGCCCCTGACCCACCAGCAAGCTGTCGTCGCAGTTGAATCGCACCCCCAACACGTGGCTGCTGTGGCCCCGGTACGCCCGGTGCGGTGCGTCATCCAGTACGCAGGGGCAGTTGAAGAGCTTCACCATGCCGTCGTCGTCGCAGGTGGCCACCACGTCGCCGCGGCGGGAGCGGTCCAGGCCGTTGACGTCGGTGCCGTCGGCGCCGTCGGGCCAGATGCCCATGACGGGAAAGCCCAGGCGCACCGTGTACGTGGAGAACTGCACGTCGCGCGCGGGGATGGGGATCTGCTTGCCTGCGAGAGGACGGGGTACGGAGGGGGTGGGGTATGGGGTATGGGGGTATGGGGTATGGGGGTATGGGGTATGGGGGGGTGGGGTATGGGGGTATGGGGGTATGGGGGTATGGGGTATGGGGGTATGGGGTATGGGGGGTCGGGGTATGGGGTATGGGGGGTCGGGGTATGGGGGGTTGGGGTATGGGGGGTTGGGGTATGGGGGGTTGGGGTATGGGGGGTTGGGGTATGGGGTATGGGGGGTCGGGGTATGGGGTATGATTGGGCGACAAAATGGGGGATATGAGGAAGAAGAACGCTGGGTCCAGCCCTGAGCGCGATAGAACGAGGGTGAGAGGAAGCAAGGAGGAAGACCCTTCTTTCGTAAAGGTGGAGGATGGAGATGAATGGAGAGAAGCACAGCGCGCGGAACTGCACATGGTTCTGTCTTCCCCACCCCCCCATGCTGGGGCCGGTCACAGACACGCCGCGCAAAAACCCAAATCCCAAATCCTCTATTTCCCCTCCTTCCCCCCCTCTCTTCCCTCCCCCACTTAACCCCTCTCCCGCCGGGCCCCCCAAATCCCGGGGGCAGCTCGGGGCATTCTCCAAACATCCCATGCACTTCCCCCCACGCACATACATACATACATACATACACATGCACATACATACGCATAAGAAAAACCTCCTCCTCACTTCCAAAACCCACCCGTCCTGGCGTTCCACACCAGCAGCTCCAGATCCGCCGAGTCGCTTTGCAGTACAGATCCATCCGTACTCCAGTCAATTCCCCGTACCGTTGAGGAGTGGCCGCTGCAGCGGGTCAGGCGCGTGTAGCCCTTGGCCACCGAGTAGACGTCTATCCAGGTATCTGCGGTTGCGGCTGCCAGCAGGCGGCAGTCCGGGGAGTACTTGAGGTCCGTGATCCCCTCCCGGCTATCCTTGGTCTTGTGAACGGGCTGGAGACTGGAATCCAGAAGAATCTGATCAGGACAAGAAGGGCGGAGAATGGGGATGGAGGGAACATGTGGGTGGATAGAGAAGGGACACGTCTGTGTTTGTATGTGTATGTTTGTGCGTATGTTTGTGCGTATAATGTACGTAGAGCGCGCGCGCGGGGGGACAACGCATACGGACGGTTGCAAGCAGAGGGGCATACCACGACCACGATGCTTCCATTGGAGCTCAAGGCTTTTGAGGCACAGGGCCTTCATTCAACCTGTAGCGTGGGGGGACCTGCTTAAAACGCTAGCACAGCCTAAAACTCACACAACACAGTTGGCGCACGCGCACACACACACACAGGTGATCGAAAGTCGGAAGCTGTTTGGCAGTTGTTTGGTTCGGCTCATATAAACCCATGCCACATACACCTCCTCTCCCTTCCGTACCTTTCTCCCGCCCCCACCCCACCCCCTTTTTCTTCCCCCCCGCCCCACACACACAGTCCCCCAAACCCCTCACACCCAAACTCAAAATCCGAACCCACCATGAGGTCACCCTTCGCTCCCCCCACCGCAACGTGGTACGTGCTCCCGTCCGCCTCAAGCGGCCGCGTGGAGAAGGCCACCGCCCGGGCCGCAAACCCCACCACGCTGCACCGCTCCAGGGAGCGCTCCTCCCCCCCCAGGTCCCACAGGCTGACCACCTTGTCGGATACGGTGGCGGCGCGGGTGGGCCGGGCGGGGTGGAAGGCCACCGCCCACACGTCGTCGCAGTGCCCGTACACCAGAATCGTCTGCATGTGTGCATGTGTATGTGTGCGTGTGCATGTGTGTAGCATGCATACATATCGAGGGGGGAAATGGGTGTGGGAAAGGTGTGTGTGTGGTGGGAGATTGGCGAGAACGGAGAGGTTGGGTAGGAGGTAGGGAGGTAGGGAGGTAGGGGGGAGACATGTCACTTCGAAAAGCCAATCCTTCGCCGCATTACTGGACCTCCCAAATGCACATACTCGCACACAAATACATACGCAAATACGCACACGTACATACACGCGTACACATACATGCATACATAGATACATACACACACATACACGTGCCTGCTGGCTCTCCGTCACCTCCATCACGTTGCACTGGTTGGTCCCCACCAGCACCACCCCCCGGATAGGGTCGTAGTCCAGGGACCGTACGGCATGGCCCCGGTCCGGCAGGGACGAGCGCAGCAGCAGCGGGGGCCCGGCGAAGCGCCCCTCCGCCAGCGAGCCGTCGGACACGTCCCAACGAAGGATGGTGCTGTCGGCACCGCCTGCGTGGGTGTTTGGGGTTGGATTTGGGTTGGGGGAAGAGCGGGGGGTGGGTGGGGAAAGCACGTGTCAAGTCAAAGTCAAAAAGAGGCAATGACCGGCGTTGCATCCAGCAGGGTCTGGGTTTGGGAGGGGAGATGGATGAGTGAGGTGGGGTGGACGTAGGGCAGGATGGGACAGGGAGGGACGAGAGGAACAAGCCAGGAGCTTTCCAGCGCAACGCAGCGGGGGTGGGGGTGGGGGTGGGTAGGCGAGGGGATGAGGATGAGCAGAATCACCGTACGGAGAAACCCTAAGTTAACTTGAGGAATGAGGGGGGAGAGAAAGAGAGGGGAAAATAGAGGACGCGGGGCTCCCTTGATTGCGGGGACCGTTAACTCGCATAGAGAAAGAGGATGTGCATGCAATGGCACCGCTGAAGGAAAGAAAGGACGTCATGTCTCAGCCCGTCTGCCTGCTTTGCATGGTAGAACATGAGGAGACGTCAGTTGAAGGTGCCCGCCTTCCCCGGCTCCCTCCCCGGCTCCCCTCCCTCTCCGACCCCACCTACCTGTCAGCAGCACCCTCTTGCCGGTGGGTGCCCCCGTGGCCGGGTCCCTCCCCTCCGCCAGCCTCATCCCCCGCACCCCGGTGTACGCCACGTGGCCATCAGGCTGGATGGACTGGGGGCCCTTAGCGTGAGCAGCTATGGACTTGACCGCGGTGGAGCCCTGACGAAGGGGGGAAAGGCCAGGGGGGGAGAGGCCAGGGGGAAATCATTCAAATGTGATTGATGATGATGATGATGATGATGATGATGATGATGATCGTGATGATGATGATGATGATGATGATGATGGTGGTGGTGGTGATGATGGTGGTGATAACGATGTTGATACGACGATAGCACACGAGGAGAAGCAAAGGGTTCAACTGTTCCGACCGACTTCCGACGCCGCAAACTGCCGTACGAGTCCAAAGCGATGAAGCTTGGGAGCGTAAGAGAAGGGATGCGAGCAGGAGGCGGAAGGCGGCAGGGCGGCGTGAGAACCTTCCCGAACACCGCCCCTCAACTTCGCACATGCGGCAGAGATGCTGCACCACAATTCTTTTAGTAGCGCAGTAGCAGTAGCAGTTGCAGTTCCCCCCAAGTTCCCAACTAATCCACAGAGGGGCCCCGCTTATCCGCCTGCCCGCATTCCTACCGTGCCTTCCCCCGTGCCTTCCTTCCCCCACACATACACATACATACACACATACTTCATTCCCCCTCCCTCCCCCACCAAGGGCCTCCGTCCCACCTTGAATATGTACAGCTGCCCATCTGCCATGCCCGCCACCACCAAGCACTCCCCCCCCGGCCCCTCCTTGGGTGGCAGCCATGCAGCGCTGTGCACGTTCTGCATGTCCAGTCGCCCCGTGCTCAGCTGCTTGGCGGCCCACTGACCCGTATCGCTCCGAGACCACATCTTGATGTGCTTTTTGCCAAAGGTGAGGAAAGCAGGTGGTAACGCCGAGTGGCGGTCTCCAGCGTACGGATTCCACTCTATGCCGTACACCTACACGTACACAAAAGACATACGCATGTACGAGTGCACGTACATGCGTGTGGGTATTGGACATCGGATAGGGGCAGTGGTGGCGGCGGTACCGGAAGCAACAGTACATTACGCTAGCCCATCCCGAGCACGTGGAGACAGGACTTGGGCCCTTGGTCCCCTCTTTTTCTCCCTTTTACCCCCTCGCTCTTTTCTCTCCCCCCCTGGGGCCAAAACCCCAACACGAACATACACACACGTTTCCCCCACACGCTTTCCCCCCTTCCCCCCAACCCCACCTGCGGCGGGTCCCCCATCTGCCCCTTGCCCGAACCGTCCTGTCGACTCCTCCTCCAGTCGTACACATACACCGTGTTGGAGTTGTCGCACGCCACGGCCGCCAAGTACACGCCGTCATGCGAGAATCCCAGCGCTGAGAAGCCACGGTCCTCCTTCCTGAAGGACAGCCGGACCAGCTGGGGCTCACCCTGCTGGGAGCCCACCCGGCTGTCCCAAACACAAATGTACGGACCCTCCTCGTGACTGGTCACCTAGGGATAAGGGGGGGGGACGGGAAGAGTGCGGGGTGGACGGGTGTTCGGGGTATAAAGGCGAAGGAGGGGAAAGGGGAGGGGAGGGGAGAGGGGGAAAAGTGGAAATTGTGTGTGTGTGTGTATGTATATATATTGTGTCCACGGGTGGGTGGTGAGGAGAGGAAACCCATGTAGGACGGCAGGTCGGGTTTCAGGGGATAAAAATTCTTTCTGGGGGAGGAAGGATGGAGGTTGGGATGGACAAGCCCATCCGCTTTCGAGCCCCCAGTACCCAACCGAACTCCTCGCCCTCCGCCCTCCGCCCTCCCAACTCGAACCTCGTCGCCTTACCGTTCCGCAACTGTTTTACTTGGGGGGAGGGACGCCGGCAGCTGATTGTTGTTTTTTATATATATATATATTTGCCTTCTGCACTATGACTCCCTCCGCCGCCGCCGCCTCTGGCCTCCCTCACCCTACCCCCTACCCGTATCCTACCCCGCGGGCCCCCCCCAACACACACGGCCAGCTCCAGGCCCGGATCGATATATAACAAATACACACACAGACACGCACAGACCGATACACATACATACATACATACACACATACATACACACACACCTGCGCAGTGGCCGCTATCGTCCTGGCCGGGTACTTCTTGCCGTTCACATCCACCTCTGCGGGGCACAGCGCCAGCGCCTTTATGTCGTCCGTGTGACCGAGGAAAAAGTGTTGACTGTGGCCTCCGCCACCGCCACCGCCGCCAGCGGCGACAGAGGAATCGGCGGCAGCAGCAGCACTGGCGGACGCAGGCTGTGGGGCTGTGCCTGTCCTCCGGGTGTACACGACCCCCAGCCCCGCAGTGAAGTAGACCACCTGGCCAGCGGCGTTGTAGAACAGGTTCTGACTGGTGGCATCCTTGCCTGAAAAGGGTAAAAAGAGGGGAGGGGGTGGGGAAGACGAACCACGTGAACCACGAGTGAAGCTGGTGCCAAGGAAAGACTGCTACGGCAGAGGAGAGGAAGGGGGGCGTTCGTGTGATTTGTTGCAGTGGCATGCAAAGCATTGGACCGCAGACGGGGAAGGGGAATAAGGGCCTTAGGGCTGGGGGTGACGACTGGGGGTGATAAGAGGGAGGGAGAAGATTGCAAACTTTGTGGGAAACGCGTTCAAGTTTCTAACAATAAATCCCGTAAGAAAAGGCAGCGCGTGTATCTATGTATGTATGTGTGTGCGCTCAGCGCACTCTCAACCCTATGGGAGCTCTTTTTGCTCCCCTCACCTCGACTCCCGCCGCGGCCCCCGACCTCAAAGCACCGCTCGTCCAACCAACCAACCAACCAACTTACCGTTGTATCCGTACACGAAATTCAGCACGAGTCGCTTGTTGGGCAGCTCCGCAGACCTCGCGCCATCCAGCTGCGGGTCCCAGTTGGTGGGTGTGTAGAGGGGCTTCCTGCACCGCTTGTCCTTGATCTTGCCGTGGAAGTTGGCGGCCATGACGTCCTTGAAGGGACCGTGGCGGACTACATGGGGGGGTGGGGGGGCGGGGTGGGGGGGGGGCGGCAACCGGGACGATCAAAAGGATTTTCTTTTTAATTTTCATTTTCATAATTATTTCATTCCCTATTTTTTATAAAAAAAAGTGATGAAATGTTATGGGAGATGGGATTCCCTAAGGGAGGCTGGAATTGTATTTCTTACTTACTCTCGGGACCCGGCCCGGGCGCTGCCGCCAAGCCTGCCGAGACCAGGCGCCATGAACAACACAACACCCACATATCCAACACTATCCCCACCGCGCCCGTGGGGCCCACCCGCACCCCCACCCCCACCCCCATCTGCCCATTTCGCCCTTCGTCCACACAGTCTGAAGGCTACACATCCACAACGTAACCGCCGGTGTGTGTGTGTGAGTGCCCAAGGAGGGAAAGAGGAAAGGGAGAGAGAGAGAAAAAGGGGGGATGAAATGGAAAGGGACATCTTCTCATCCCAGTAACGAACGAACTTGTTTTCCGGGGATCCCTTCCACCCACCAATCCACCAATCCCCTCCCCCCCCTCTTCCCGCCACCGTCCCGTCCTCGCCCAACACACGGCCACCCCCATCACCCACTCGGCATCTCCTCCGCCAACTGCCGGCTGGGCTGCGTCAGCAAAATGTTGGCAAAACGGTTGTACGGCAATCTGTCCTTGTAACCGAACCTCTCAAACAGGCGCTGCGCCTCCGCCACACCGCACTCGACCCCCAGCTGCCCGCACATGGCGCAAAACTCCTCCCAGCTCACATCGCCGCTGCCGTCGTCCACAGACCTGTTAGATACATACATACGACACCGACCGTTTACATACATGCATACGTACATATAAGACACACGCAGGGGACATGGGGCTGTGCATGACGATGGGACAGGGCAGACATGGCGCAATACGGCAGGGAACAAGGCAAGGTAGTCGGCAGTTGACCAACAACAAACAGGACAAGAACGAGCGCAAGCAGCAGGCCTGGCTGAACTGCTACCACGCCCCACTACCAAAGCCGTCCTCCCCTTCCTTGGTGGTGTCGGCAGTGGACGCGTTTCGTGCGTTTCGTGCTGGCGAAATTCATTTACCAACCCCCACACACACCGGCTGTTGCTCACACCCCGGTCGCTGCTCCTCCCGCCCTTGGCCTCAACCACGAGCCTGGACTATAAGCACCAACCCACCCACCGGCCCTAGCCCACCCACGCCCGGACTTCCCCACACACACTTTTAGCCCAGTCCGTCTGCAAGGGCGCCCTTCCGACGTCTCCGGTCCGCCACCAAATACACACACACACAAAACCCCCCGGGCCAGTCTCATCTCCCGGCTTACTTGAACATCTTCAGCAGTACGGCCTTGCTGTCCTCGTACACTGAACGGCGCGCCCTCAAGGCATCCCGGATCTGGTCCTCCAACATGGCCATACTCGCGTCACTCAGGTCGGCGCCGCCGCCGACAACACCGCTGCACGTACGTACAACACGTAAATACACACATGTAATTCATACATATCCGTGTGTGTGAGTCCGTGTGTGGGGGATGTGGGTCTGGGTAGAAGAAAGCTTCCTTCCAAAAATTGTGCCAAGTCGCACAGGCGGGTGTTGGGGAGGGGACATGGGAGGCGTAAAGGAACGAGCACCAGTGAGGTCCCCGGCGTGTTGAGGAGGAGGAAGGGTAGGGGTTACGAAAGGTACCCCGGACGACCTGACGGCCAACGGGAAGCTGTGACAACAGGAGTCCATAACAACAACAACAACACACCGAAGAAGTTGTGCCGCCCTCTCCCAATCCTCGTCCAACCCCTCCTCCTCACACTCTCTTTCTTCCCCCAAGCCAACAGCCCCCCACCACAACCGCTCCCCCAGATGCACTTTCCTTCCCCTT